CTATAACTAGTGCCAGGATTCTGACAAGTCCTTGACATTCTTAGGGATCTGCAATAACTCTGGACAGCGTGGAGACGTGCGCAATGAATGCTGCCTCTTGTCACACATCTCGTGTTACACCACACTATGCATAGACTTTGTGTGCCACAAGTGTTGCGATTTAATTCCCGCCTGGTGCGAAACGTGTTGCGTGCAGTGAATTGCAATACATTTCCTATAATTTGACCGTCTCTGGACCATGCTGCTTCGTCTGCGCGCACGTACCATCGGAAGCAGCCATTCGTACGCTTAGTTACAGGAACGCTTGGTGCTTATAAGAAATGTCGTGGCAGTGGGTTTAATCACCTGGAGGCAATGTGCACAAGCATTGTCTGAGGTGAAAATCGAAACCCACGAGCTTAAGTCATTGGAGGTAACTATAAACTGGAACAAATCTTGACATCGTAATTTTTGCGCATAAAAAGTCCCGTCGCATCACGCAGAACACTATCAGGTTTGGACGGATATGTAGACTCCTTTTTGCGTCACCTGAACTCACTCTGTCAGCCACCGTGCGTACGTTTTGATTGACATCTCCATTCAGCCTTTGGCAGTCATCTGCTAGAACGGCTTCGTTTTCAGACGCATTCAGTGGATCGGATGGCATGCGTTACTAGCTGTTTATCTCTCGTCGAACAAGCGGAACTTCAATATACAAAAAGTCATTGACTGAGGCGCGGCTGGCCGATTATCCTCTCTTTTAAGACAGTCCAGCTCTTCCTGCATTGTCTGGCCATAGCTTCACGTTGCCCGATCTGATTAGAAAGTTGACCTTTCCTGTTAGCAGCTGTAAGATATTAACTTTTTCAGCTGGGCATGCATTTGTTGACGTAAGAGCTCCGGTGTGTGTATCTCTTTTGGTGAATGACTAGATTGTCACATCTCTTTCTGTGCATACCAGCCCAAAATTTTCGGGGTACAAATTTGACTTAACACGTGCTCAGGTGAGGGTGGGGGGTCAAATTGACCCCCCCCCTCCGAAGGTTTTTCCCGAATGGTTTCCGAACGACGCGGAGTGGCTGTGCCAAACTTTGCATAGCTATATGAAATTGAATAGCGGATCGTTTGACATCAAAAATTTAGATGTATATTGTAACGTCGCTGACCTATGGCAGGTCAAATTCAGGCCATGGTTTTAGCGAAGGCAATTTCTAGGGAATCGTCCAATCTGATACAATAACGGAGTGTTTGACGAGGCCATACATCTCTGAGATGCTTTCTTAGGCCCCACAAATATTGAATGAGCAAATTACATTTCCCTAAGGTTAGGTGTGAAGGTCAGACCAAGGTCAAAACCAACCTTTGTATTACTCTAAGGCTTGCTTGCTGTATGAGATAGTTTGTGGTGTTCATTTCGAATTTATTGACAGCGGGAACCGCATTAGACATCTTCTATTGACTTCTTACAGGTCAGAACAGGTCATACCTAAGATGACCCGGGTCGACATGCCTAGCGTAATCATTGTCGCTTATTTAGATGCGAAACTCAGGGCAGTCTTGTATGATTATGGTCGCCAGGACCTTTAAAAGCTCAAACACGATCACTTATCTCAAATGGGTTTACGACCTTTTGCTCAGAAACAGTTGCCTAGGTTTTGGGGACACTTTAGAGACCAATCTGTAAATTTACCTTGTTTGACCTTATTTTTTACCTTAAGGTCATGACCTGTAAAGCTCAAACTTTGACCAAAGTGAGTTCACGTACAGGTCAAGACACACTAAATTTGGTGCCTCTAGCTTTCTTAGCTCCCGAGATCTCAAGTGGGGTCAAATTGACCCCCCCCCGAGCAAAGGGTATCTAGCCGGCCACCCGGGCGCGTGTTAAGCGTTGTGTTTTTGATATTCAGCCCTTCATAAAAGGTCGTGTTTAGACATCAAGGTGGTGTCTGAACCAACATTTTTTTAATGGTCACTGCGCCCGTGGTGTTTACACCATTTTATTGGAACTAAGGCGGTTGAGATTAGAATGTGTATGAATGCCACGTATCTTAATAAATTTGAGAGAGATGATTGTAGGCAGTTCCAAAGAAGGTAAAAAGTGATGAGCATCAGTTCTTTTTGTTCTTTGTGTCTATGCTGAGGAATATAGGCGTAAATAGCAAACCATTTCGTTTGATTCCATATTCATAGCTTTTGTTCTCCTAGGAACTGTGCGTGATGTTTTTACGAATTATATGTATACATTTATACATATACTTTCATATATGCATGCACATATATGCTGTCATATATATATATATATATATATATATATATATATATATATATGTATAAAATGCAAGCACATATGACAAACCCCCATATGTTGTGCAAGGGCAGATCTAGGTAAACGAGGCACCATTAGCGCTAATTTTCTTTGTCAAACCGCCATTTGGTGAACTATAAACTCACGTTGTAACACGCGCCCGGTTGGCCGGCTCGATGCCCCTCGCTTGGGTGGGGGGTCAGTTTGAGACCCCCCCCGCTGAGATCTCGGGAACTAAGAAAGCTAGTGACACCAAATTTAGAGTGTGTTGACCTGTACGTGAACTCACTTAGGTCAAAGTTTTAGGTTGCTAGGTCATGACCTTCGGGTCAAAGAAGGTCGGATAACAACAGACAAAGGTCAAGCTCCAGGTTGGTCTCCAAGCGCCCCCAGAACCTAGATAGCCGTTTCTAAGTAAAAGGTCACATGCTCATTCAAGGTCAGTAACCTTGCTTGATCTTTTGAAGGCCGAGGCGACCAAAATCTTGCAAGTTTGCTTTGAGCTTTGCATTTGACTAAGCGACAAAGATTACCCTAGAGTGTATGTTCCTAAAAAAAATGTTGACCTGGGTCGTTTTAGGTCAATGACCTATTCTGATTTCTAAGAAGTCTATGGAAGATGGATAATGCGGTTCCTGCTATCAATGAATTCAAAACGAGCACCAGAAGCTGTCCCGTACAGCAAGCCCCAGAGTGGCAAAACAAAATGGCTTTGACCTTGGTGCAACCTTTATACCTGACCTTAGGTCAATCTAATTTGCTTATTCAACTGTTGTGTTGCCTAAGAAAGCATCTCAGAGATGCTTCGTCTAACACTCCGTTGTTAGATCAGATTGAAGGACTCCCTAGAAATTGCCTTGGCTGAAACCGTGGCCTGTGTTTGACCTGCCATAGGTCAGTGACCTTACTAGGTACACCTACATTTTGATGCAAAACGATCCGTATTCAATTGTCTACACAGCTATGCAAAATTTGGCGCGGCTACGCCGCGCCATTCGCAAACCATTCTGGAAAACCCTTCGGGGGGAGACAATTTGACCCTCCCACCCGAGCGCATGCTAACAGTCCACTGGTTCACGTTGCATGTTTTTTCATGCACCTACACTTCTTAATCTCACATCCAGGAAACATAATGCTCCAGACGATGACGCACAGATCAAATGCACAGAAGAGCTATTGTATGTTACATCTGGAGATGGAGTAAGTAAAAAGCCCGGTTAAGTTTGCAACACGCATTATATTACTGTGCATGCACAACATGATGTATGCATACATGTGCATTAGTATGTATTATAGTCTAACTTGACCTCTTAATCCTGCTGGAGTATACCGCATGCCTTTTTTCATTTGGCCCCAGGCAACGCAGATACACCAACCCCATAACGATGGGCTAAAGCCTGTCCAATGGAAGCATTATCGAAACGTTCAACATGTACTGTAGGTAGGTGTAAAAACAAAACTAATAAAATCACTACTAAAATCTAAGCTTTACACGCCTGTGATTGCCACTTTGCATCATCTGACTGCGTTTCAGCTGAAATATGTGCGTCACCAGTGTTCATGATGGATGTGACTGAAAAATATGCGATACTTAGCTTACTGTGACTGAAAAATATGCGACACTTAGCTTACTCCAGCACTGTAACATCTATATCAATTGCAGGAAAAATCACCAAATTTCAAAGCGCTTTGGCAAGCAGCCGCGGAGAAGCTAATCAAAATTTCTCCCAGGCACGGAATTTCCCCCAGCAAGGAAGAAAGTTGCTAACACTGCAGACGCAACGCGTAGAGCATAGCAGCGAAGCTTGCTTGATGGCCTACAAGCGATCAAAGAAGACCAGATGAGAGCTACATGTGGCTGTGAGGGCTGTTATGTATGTGGGTTGCCCATTGACATAAAGCCGTGGAAGCTGTATATCTTTGAGTACAACTAGCCGATGTTACAAGTTACGAGACTCAGGCGTGCCTTTAAACAAGACCACCAAAGCCAGAAAGACTTCAGGAACCCAACTGACACCATGTGACTGAATGATTACATTATAGTATCAATTACTGAATGGCTATTCGATGTAAATGACGCCACACACACACACACACACACACACACACACACACACACACACCACACACACACACACAACACACACACACACACACACCACACACACACACACACACACCAACACACACACACACACACACACACGCATGTATATATATATATATATATATATATATATATATATATATATATGAATATAGATATAAACATATGTACATATAAATATATACAGTTATGTGCGTGTGTGTGTGCGTGTATGTGTGTATGTGTGTGCGTGCGCCTGTTTATGCGTATGCGGCTGGGGTCCGCGGTCCGCAGTCCGGCGCACGCCTTGGACCGCTGTTTGTTTGAAGTTGCCAACGCGCCATCGATCGCCGCTGGAAGCGTTGCCGTTGGGGGGGGGGGGGGGGGGGGGGGGGGGGGGGAGCGTCACCTGATCAGTCCACCTGGACACACGGCCGGCCGAGGAGCCGGCTCGACCCTCCGTCTTTGTCCTCCGCACACATACAGCCAACATGAAGGTGAGATCAACTCTGGAGTAGGCTGAAAGTGCGATAACTTACCGTTTACCTGTATTTCATGTACTAGCCTGCCTCATGCTATCGCTATAACACAGATGAATATGCTGACACCAAATCTAAAATGCACGAAGAAAGTGGATTAAAGGGGCGAGGCGCGTTTCTTCGAGAACGTCTTGCATGTTTCGTCACCATGTATGTCTCCGTCGTTTCACGTGCGCAGACTTTTGACGTGATCCCACGTGACCAAAGGCGCAACCATTATATTACGAAGTGGTACATGGCCACGAAATAAAAACGCCTCTGTTGGAGAATTTGACGGCCATTTTGAAACAATTAGTGACCCGTGACGGTTTGCTTCTGCTCATTCCGCTTCTTGTGCATTTAATATTTCGTACCAACTCAGGTTTCTGTCT